CAGATTTCTTTGGGGAAAAAGGCAGCTTTCTGTTTTATAAATGCAGACTTCTGTTTATTGAATGAAGCATATCTCAGTGTTTATCTGTCAGGTTTTGAAACATTTCATATATGTCCAAATACTTGGCAGAATTTAAAAAAATAGTGAATTTGGTGTAAAGTTGCTATTTTATGGAAATGCCTCTAACTTTACATTTTCATTCCATCTGTAGATTTTTCTATCTTTATAAAATATTGGAGTTATTTTTTAAGGAAAAATAGAGAAGTAGCTTGTGAATAGCTCAAACTAAGCTTACAAATCGCATGTAAAAAAGCAAAAAAGTTATTTGTGTCTGTTTATATTGCTTCCTTTTTTGTAGCCTTTGTACCTGTACAGGGTGACAGTAAGGGCCAAGCAGGAGAGGCGTAATCCTTGTATAAAATAGGAGCCAGCGACACTCTTGTATTTATCTGTTATCTTTTTAGTCAGTTACTTCAAAAAAAAACAAAAAACAAAAACAAACAAAAAAAGCTGTACATTTTAACATAAAATAAATTATGATGAGCCATTTTTAGCCTCTTGTGTCCTGTCATATTATGATTGATAGAGAATGACCAATTGAATTGTATCATGTGTCACATCTCAGAACACATACACATTTTGGGAAAATAAATTATTTAGTGTAAATTGGAGTTATGAGATTTTCTGATTTGCTTTGACTTTGGGGGAGGGGTTGGCAATAAATAAAAGTAATATCTAATAAAACCATCACATATACCAAATACCTATTTAATAAATTAATTTATAATGGATTTTAATGCTTTTCATGAAAGTTTATTTTATGCTAGTGCATACCTTCTGTATGCCAATCATTGTCTTTAAAATAAAGTGAATTTGTTTTTTTCTTTTTGACTTTGATCTTCATTTGCAAAGAGATCCTGCACAAATATCCCAAATATCTAGTTGCTTAGTTTGTACAGTCTGTATAAACACCCTCAGAGCCTAGTACCATGATAGCAAGCTTCATTTTTATAAAGATTAATTCCAAAACACCCAGTTTGGTGTAGTATGTTTGAAAATTTATTTAAGTGTGAAAGTTTTGCTCTGTTGTGAATGATTGATTGTATGTTTTCTTTAGTCTAAACGTTCAGACTAAGGGGGGAAAAGTAAATATTCACAAACATTATTCAATGGCATTCAGAAAACATTTTGCATGAAAATTTAAACATTTGATTATTCAAGCAGTGAGTCTAGAAGTGGGTGTTCACAGCTCTCTGCTAAGCAAATCACTACTATTGTTTTAACACATAATAGTTAGGTGTTAACACAGATGATAGATACAAACTTTAAAATGATCCCAAAACACTGAACAGGTAGGATAGAGCGTGCACCAGGATCAAAGGCCCCACATGGAGGAGGATGCCTGGCAGAGCCTGGCCTTGTGTTCTCACCTGTGTCATTCTCTTTCAGTTTTTGCATGTGTAGTGGGTTTAATAACCAGATTCTACCCTTAAATCCCTCCCTCCCACACCTGCAAAGTTGGCCACACCAGTAGGGTAGCCGGAGGGCTCCAAGGGCTGCTGTGTCGAAGGAAGACAGAGTTGCTGTGCTCCCCATTCTTCTGATGGGGAAATGCACGGCTTGTGTGAATCATGGTTGCAGCAGGTCAGAAGTGGCCAAGCATCAGGCAAGAGGCTGCTTAAGCCTGGGAGGCAGGATGAGGTCCCTGACACAGAGCTCCCCACAAGCCCCACTTTGAAACTTTCATGATTCAGTTTTTTTTCCTGCTGCTTTAAGTTTTGGGGAAGGCTGGAGACCCCCCCCCACAATTCCCTTTGGCAGTGGCCTGCTGATCACACCTTTGGGTTTGTAGGATGCTAGGGCTCCAATGTCCCCACTCATGCCTGCCCTCTAGGGAGGTCGGGGACAAATCCCAGTCACTGTCCCAGACCTGCCACACCAGAATCAGACCAGTACACGGGACACCTTGTGTCTCACAGAGACTGTGGCGTAGTCACTGGGAGCTATCTTTGGGCCCCAAGTCCCAGCATTTCTTGAGGGATCAGAAAGGTTTAGCATAAGAGAGAAATTGCACAGCTGGGATGGCCAGGGAGCACCCTGCTCTCCTCACCTGCCCACTCGATGGGAAATTCAGACCTGAATGTGACACCACAGGTCCTGGAAAACAGGAACTTGGATTCATCATGACTGAATACACTCACCGTTAGGTTGGGATTCATTCATGATTAGGCCACACCTTAAAAACCTGGAATGTGTTCTTGTTCATTTTCTTCAAGAGTCTAACATGGATTGTCTGTTGCCAACCTACTTTCATAGCTCGAATGGTGCCAGCCCTTGGACTCGGGCCTCAGACTTTGGCCTTCCTCACCAATGTGCTGTTTCAGAAATAACGACTCACAACACTATCACAAAGAGCTTTCACCAACAGCGCTTCCACCTGATCCACACTCACCCTGTGTGGGAAATGGGGTGGTCGTTTTCATTTACAGATCAGGAAATGGAGGCTCAAAGAAGCTAACCTAATTGCCTGAACTCACCCAGCTAAAATTTGTAAGCTGAAACAAACCCGGTGTTCCCAAATCACAGCTCTTTCTCCTAAAACACTGTCTCCTCTGAAAAGGCTCCTAAAACATTGAACTCTGAAAAGGCTGTAACTCGTCACCTCTCTGGTTTAAAGGCTTAGCTAATGAATACATGATGCTGTAAAAACTGTTAAGTGCTCCGTAAATATAGGTTCCTTTGTTGTTGCAAGCAAGGCTTGCTCTGCAGCCAGCCTTAGATACTGAAAATGCAAGGACTGTCGCTTACCCAGCAGTGACTTCAGGGTCTGTGCCCAGGCCTCCCTGACTCCTGCTACCTTCTTTGTTCCCTTTCCCAGATTCCTCCTCCACCTAGGCCTGGCTGGACAAGTTCACGTTCTGCAACACTCCGGCCTGGAGCATCCTCTCTTTTTTTCTCCTTATCTATCTCCTATGATGACTTCAAGTTCTACCTCTTCACAGTATTTGTATCTCCAGTTGTGAACCTTCCTCTGAGCTCTAGATTGCAGATCAAATTACTTGGGACACCTTTTCTGTGTCTTCTGAACATGCCATAATGCAGTGATACCCAGTTCATTAACCTTCATTTCTCTCCCCTCTCAGCAAGTCCACTCCTTTTCCCGCATAATTCCAAAATGATCCTGAATGCAAATTCCCTGGCACTATCTGTACAGGCCACCTTCCCCTCTCTTATAACAGCCCCCTAACTGATCTTCTGGTCTCCTTTCTCAGTTCCCTATAGCTATTCTCCATACTTTGGCCAAATGATTTTTTTTTCTTTCTGGAGTGATCTTGAAAAAACTCACACCATTTCCCTGCTTAAAACACTTGAGTGGTTTTTCTTTGCACTGGGAATAAAATCCAACCTCTCCACCCCTTTTCTTGCATTCTCCCCTCACCTGACGAGCAGTTCCTCAGACTAGAATGCTCACTCCTCCTTGGCAAGACGTACAACCTCAAGCCTAAGCTTACTCTCCCTGAGAGGTTGCCCTTCACCACCCCACTTCTAAAGTGGGTTGCTCCCCCAACACTCCCCGTTGCTTTCCACCTAAGCACCCGTTTCCCTCATTGCATTTTATTACAACCCACACTTTAGCTTTTATTTTTGACCTCTTATAATGCAACTGTTGGCATGTGTGGTACATTCTCAACAAATACTCATTGATTGAAAATTTTACTTGTGAAGATGTGAAACACTATTGGAAAAACTGTTCCTCCTTTCTCCTATCTGGCTCTCTGGAGTCACCAGAAGAGTCCAGACACTCCAGTGTTAAATTCTCTCTTGCTTCTGCCCTCTGCAGGGCTCTGCCCCACAAAGAGATGGTGGCATAGAGGGGTGGTAGGTGCTCAAGAAAACACATCCTCCCTACATGTGAAGTCACTGAAATGTAAATAGTTTATTGAAATAGAAATATTGATTTGTGTCTGGGCACAGAATAGATCAGACCTAAGAGAAAACAGTTCAGAGGGCAGTCATCAGGATGCCATGCTAGGGAAGACTAGTAGAGATCACTCTGAGCCCAGTCCCTTTTGGTCTGCATCTCTTTCCCAAGAGCCCATACATGGCTCCAATTACACCCCAATCTGAGTCATTAAGCAATTCCATCACCCTTGGTCATTATGCCCCTACCATTCTGTTCTCTCTCTCACAATCACATGAGTTTTGGCTGATCCAGCCCGACCTCTCTCTAGTTTAGACCTGTCACAATTTCAGAGGGAACATCTCTCCTTTTTGATCTTATCACCAAGATAGACCAATTTACTAAACATTCATATTTCCATTTCAGCTTTGCCTTTTTCCTTTGCAACTCCTTTATAATGTGTCAGGTTTTTAATTTACTAGAAGCCCAATATCTTTAACACAGGCAGAGAGTGGGGACTCTCAGGGGAATCCCCTCCCTGTGCATGTTCATCAGAGGACCAAGTCTTCTCCTGGGCCAAGGTGACCCTCCCAGAGCAGAACCAGGATAGTCCCAGGGAATCAGGTCCAGGCACAAGGGCCCAGGACACAGCAAGCAGAACAGCTTCCCTGAGGTCACAGGGAGATTCTTGGGTGACTTTATCCAGCTGCTGAATCCCTGGACTCTTACCTCCCTCCCACAAGAACTTCCTCTTTCATTCTGTTGAGAATCACAACCAAACTGGAGACCCAGCGCCTTTCCATTGTTTCCCAGTAGGCCTTTAGCACACTCTCTTGGCTTTATCCAGGTGGTTTCCCTTTCTGGTCATTGGCTGCTAGGACCCCACCCCACCCCCACCCCTCTCTTTCTTTGGGTTCAGTCTGGTTCAGGTTCCTGGCTCTAGAAGCCACCACGACCCATTTGGTGCTGCTACCATTTTCTCAAGAATGAAGAACACACATGCTCACAGTGAGTGGCTTAGCTCACCCCTGAGCCCCCCTGACTGCCCCATCCTCCCATTCCACAGCAAACCCCTTTACAAATACTTCCTGGTGTGACTGAAAACAAACCAGCCCCAGCTGCTCTGGCTAGAGGCACAGTCCTGGTCTGCTGAAGGGTGTCTCCTCCTTTCCCTCTTTGTGCAAAATTATAAAGCCAAACTCTTGCTTGTCCAAATTTGCCACAATTTATTGAATTTGTCTGAGTAGTGGCAGCTCTGGCCACCATTCAGAAGAGCCCTGGCTCCCTAAGGCAGGCAAGAAGCCAAGGGCAGGGGCTTCTAAGGGGCTCAGGACCCTACTCCCCACCCCTGCCAGGCCAGCAGCATCCGTGAATGGTGACTTGGGGATTCCATGGGTAAAGAATGCGGGGTGGCCTCCGGAGGCCCTGATACCTGTGAAAGCTCTCCTGTAACACAGCTGCACAGGAATTTTCTGTGTTTATAGAAAATCAAGTTCTATTTTTAAATTATTTTTTTATAAGAATGTGACTTTCAGACAAAGCCAAACATTTAATCACAACACAATTCCCACACATTTTTAAATCCTTTTCTGTTTCCATCTTTAAAAAAAGAAGAGGGAGAAAAAATTACAGGAGACTGCAGAACGGTGCTCTCATCTGTAACCAATTGAGCCGGGCGCCAGTCTCCCCCCACGGGGCTGAGGCCTGGACTCCGCCTGGAGGCGGCTCTGAAGCCTCCCCGCTCCCAGCACACACTGGGAAGTTTAATAAGATTATTAGGAAGAAGTCAAGCTTTGGTTTTGCTGTCCCTTCTCTGTGACCAAAGTCATGGGGCAGCGCCATTTCAGCTTTTTTTCTCCATCCCAAGAGTCTATGCTTGGCGGTGAAGAGGGTCCTATGGCTCCCCCTGGCAGTCCCCACGCCGGGTCTGTCGCCTCTGCTGAACCAGCTGCTTGTCCAGTTCTCGAAGTTGCTTCAGAAAACCCCGGTTGGGTAGGACGCAGCGATTCTTGGCCACTTGTTGGACAGCATCCACCAGAGTCATGTTCCTGTGGATCATCAGGTAGGCCAGGACCAGGGTCGCCGACCTGCTCCGGCCCATGGCACAGTGAACCAGGATCTTATCTGCAGATGGAATTGGGAGAAGAAAATCCACACTGAAGGGGTGGTGTGGCTTGTGGAGAAGGCCTTGCATGAGGCCCAGGGAGGCCTGCTCAGTCCTGATTGGCTCACTCAGCTCTCACCCACAGCCTGGCTACACCCACAGCTCCCCAGGTGCATGGGGGAAACTCTCATGGTTTCTTTGTCTTTGTGAAGGTAATTTGTACATAACATACTTTGTATGCTGCTTGGCACCCATTAAAAACTTAATAAATGGCATTAGTTGCTGGGCACGGTGGTGCAGGAGGCTGAGGCAGTAGAATTGCAAGTTCAAAGCCAGCTTCAGCAACTTAGTGAGATCCTGTCTCAAAAAATAAAACAGGGGGCGTGGGGGGGGGTGCCGGGGGGTTGGCTGGGATTGTGGCTCAGCGGTAGAGCACTCGCCTAGCACAGGCGGGACTGGGTTTGATCCTCAGCACCACATAAAAATAAAGGCATTGTGTTGTGTCCATCTACACCAAGAAATAAATATTTTTAAAAAATAAATAAAAAATAAAAAGGGTTGGGGACTTAGGACTTAAGTCAGTGGTAAAGCACCTCTAAGTTCAATCCCCAGCACTAAATAGATAGATAGGAGATGTTACTGTTGCCTTGGTAAGGAAGGGGAAGAGGGAAATGAAGTTAAGGCTCTCACTTGCCTGAGTACCTCTAAGTGAGAACTCCCAAGTCAGTGTGCTGAAGAAATGATTTTATGGGTGTGTGTGTGTGTGTGTGTGTGTGTTTAATGCTCATTTATTATGTTGAATAGGGTAGTCACTAGGGTTCAAATTTCAAAAGTTACTAAAGGATGCCCTGAAAAGACTCCAGTGCCTCAGCTCCCAGGAGCCGCAGACATTATCAATTTTTTCTTCCAGAGAGGAATCAGTGCATATGCATAATGAAATAGATTTATTTTTCTTCTTCTTTTTTTTTCCCTCAAAGGCAAAGTTCTACATCCTTTTCCATACCTTGCTTTTCCATTTAACAATATATCTTGGACATTTTTATCAATTTGTATATGAAGGATTCGTTTAATTTGTGTGTGTGTGTGTGTGTGTGTGTAAAACGAAATTCCTCTGTAGAGATAAGCAACTATAGACAGAATGCATTCCCTGGGAGACCCTGGAATGACCATCCCATGCATGGGCTACATGTGGAGTGGAGAGATATGGATGCTTTTTACGTTATCTGCAGTGCTGCTAGATTTGACGCTGGATAAGGAGAGCTGCCTCATCCCCTATGGCCCTTTCTGCAGCCCAGAGGGCATGGTCTGCCTGCTTGGCATCCTTGAGCATCCATGTAGCCAGTGGGGCCCATATTACCCTGGCCTGATCTCTTGCAGACCTGGGTTCCAGACTGGATTCTGCCACTAATTGCCAGTTGGCTAACAAATAGGTAAGTCACTAAGCCTCTGGAGCTCTAATTTCCTCAACTGTCAAGGAGGGGAGCAAAATCAGATCAGCAGTGAGCAAATCTAATTCTATAAAATTACATGGTTGAGTTTTTTAAAAAATTAAAGTACTTTTATTGTCATGTGCCAAAGGAAAGGGATGAATATTCTTCAAATTTAAATAAGCTACATTATTGTCTATTCTAGCTGTTCTCTAAGTGTGTTCCAAGATCCCTGGGAGTTCCCAGGAAACTTTCAGGAGATGCATGGAATCAATAGGATTTCCATCATCGTACTGTGGTGATATTGTCTGACTGTGTTGACATGCATGCTGACATTGCCTTTGTGACCATCACAAAGGCAATGGTGTGCAGAACTTCTGCAGTCTTAGCAGGGATCATGGCACAGGCACCAGTTAGACTAGTAAGCAAATTGCTTTGCCTGCCCTCACACACTCTCAGGGGGCAAACAGCAATTTCCCTTAAGAATAACTTCGATGAAGCAGTAAAAATTAGTTTTATCAAATCCCAGCCCCTGGGTGTACTTTTTAATATAACATGTGATGAAATGGGATGTATACATAAAGCACTTTGGCCCCATACTGAAGTACAATGGTTGTCTCAAGGAAAAGCACATGCGAGCTGATTGAGATGCGAGCTGAATAGCTGCTGTTTTCAGGAAACACATTTTTCCTTGAATGAACAAATGACAGAAAAACCATGGGTATTCAAACTTGGGAATTTAGCAGCCCTCTTCTCAAAAGTGAACCAAGTGAGCCTGTCATTTCAAAGAAAACCACTGACGTATTTGTTGCTGGCGATAAAATGCAGAATTTCAAGCAAAAATTCGAATTTTGGAAAACTTGTATCCATCACTATGAGATGGACAGTTTCCTAATACATTATGATTTTTTTTTCCTTTAAGATAGATGGTGATATTAACAAGTGTGGCTTTTTGGATAATCTGCAATGAAAAATGTCAGCATTTGAAAGAACCATATAACTTAGTGAACTAGTATTTCCAAATGAACAGTGTAGGACATTTTAATGTTATATCAAAAGATCCACTTAAGACAGACCAGTGGAGTTTAATGTGAAAGTATATGAAGTTCATTGATACGGTTTCTGATTCCACATCACAAGTGACCTTAAAATATTTTGTTTGTGGAGATTTGGTGCAGTTTCAAAGAAGACTATCCACAATTATCTGAAAAGCCTATTAAAATATTCCTCCCTTGTCCAACTACATATATAAATAAGGCTGTATTTTCTTTAAATATTTCAACTGAAAGAGCTTATAACAATAATCTGAATGCAGAAGCAGATATAAGAATACAACTGAATTCTGTTAAACCTAACATTGAAGAGATTTGTGAAAAATGTAAAATAATATCACTCTTCTCCCTAATTTGTTTTGGAACACATAACTTTTCATAAAACTATGTAATTATGTTGCTATACAATAGGTCTGTTTAAATGAACAAATATCTTAATTTTTTTCAGTTTTTACTTTGAATAGGGTAAATATTGATAGGTATAGCCTACATAGACAAAAGGTCTTTGGTATTCACTAATTTTTAAGAGTGTAAAAGAATTCTGGATCCAAAAAGTTGGGAACCAGAGATCTGGAAGAAAAGCTCTTTGGCCTCTTCCAAGCCAACAGCTGGGCCTCTCTGAGAAGCCAGGAGCTTCAGAAGCTTCCCATCCCTCAGGCTTCCATTTGGTGGCGCTCTAGAGCTCACCTAGCTCATATCTCCTTTTATGCTCAGCCAACCTTCAAGGATTCATTATCATAATCCTTCCTTTGCAGATGGGGAAACAAGCTCATGGGGGTGTGATGACTTTGCTAGAGGTTGCCCAGAAAGCTTTTGCTTGGAATAGCTCAATGCAACATATATTTGAGGCCCTACTGTGTGCCAGCCCAATAGCCACTAGAATCTCATTGCTTTATCTGTGCTCAGAGCAACAAGATTCAACTGACTGTCCCACCACTGCCAGTGGGTGCCCTCTCCTGTCGCTATGGGATCACTCTGCTGGTGTCACAGTCATTGGGACTGCTTGAGCTCTGTGACCCCAGTGCTGGCCCTGTTCCTGAGTCTCAGGCCTGAAGCCTGAAGAGTTGTCCAAGAAGACACTCATGGACATTGGTGAGTTTATGGAGCATCACAGGATACAAGGACAGCTAGCTTCTGCATAGAAGTGGCTCTGCATGTTCCTCTCACTGCCACCACCTCACTTTCCTCATTGGACCAATGCCCAGTAGAGTGATGATGGTCAGAAACCAAGGCAGCATGAGAAATCCATGTGGTGCTAAACACCAAGCACCTGGACTCTTCTCTCCAGCCCTACATGGCTGGAGAAGTCTGCGCACTCCAATCAACAGTGAGGACAACAATGGCCTCTCCACAGGCAGAGCCTGGCACAGGGAGGTGCTCTGTAAATAGCTCTTCATTTTATCACAATTTAACTGATCTCCACAAGCTCACCAGGCCCGCTCATCCTACGTCTCCATGTTGCTGGGCCTTTCCCTTCTTCACCTTGGCCAGAAAGGGAGGCAGGAAGCAGGTCCCCCTTCTTTATTGCTACTTAGGGCTTAGGGGATGGGGGCCCCACATTCTTGCCCAGCATAACTGTGCTTGTGGGGTGTGGCTGCATCCAGGCCAGCGCATGTCTACCTCTGGCATTCTAATCCCCACGGGCTGCTCCAGAGGCTGCCTGGCCCCTGGCCAGCTCTGCTGATAACTAAAGCGTTTCTTCCTCTCCTGGCAAAAAGAGTAATTCTTCCTGTCATGACTAAATACTAAAACAGACGAAAGCTGTAGTTCATTAAGCCTTTGGGGAGCCTGAAGTCTGTTAAGTGAGGGGGGGGAGGGGAGAGGAAGGCGGAAGGTGGGGGAGATGGGGGAGGCAGGCGCAGGGGAGCTGGAGGGGGTGGAAGGGAAAGCGGGAAAAGAGGGAGGAGGGACATTCAGTTGTGGCAGGAGTTCCTGGAGTTGAGTTTGGTTTTCAAAACCTCCACATTCATGCTGTCAGCCATGAGAACTAGATGGACCTTCCTAGGGTAAAGAGCCTGCTGTTCTCTTTCCTCTCTGGGACTGTCCCCAGAATCTCAGGCCTCTGCTCCCTCTTTGCTCAATGGCCCTGCCAAGCACCATCCTTTGGAGCCCAGGGTTGGGTGGCAGGAATCAGTAGAGTCAGAAGGCCTGTTCCCAGCACTGGCCTCATGGAGAAAGCAGGAGACTGTGAGTTGGATGCCAGCCACAGGTAGGGTCCTCGGCAAAGGCAGCCTTGACAGAGCTGGCATTTTCTATATCACTGGCTTCTAAATCTTTCTGCACAACCCCCAGGAAATAACAGAGCAGGATGAAATTCACAGCTGACACCTGTATTCTCTTCTAAGCACTTTATGTTGTCAATGTCACCCAATGACATTGATGAAGTTATTTTCTCCAGTTTATAGATGAGGTAACTGAAGTGCAGAGAAGGGACTTGTCCAAGTCACACAGTTAGGGAGTGGCAGACCCAGGATCTGAGCCCAAGCAGGTGGCCAGTGTGCCTGTCAGTCAAAAGTAATCCATACCTGCACTGCCTGCAAGGCAAGCTGATATTTTCTATTTATTTCTAATTTATTCAATGTTTCAAAAAGAAACACCCAAACAAATTGATTTTTGATCCACTGATAGGTCACAAATCTGTATCTGGAAATGGCTAGTTTCCATCAAATGTTTCCCCTATGTCCCCTTACCAACAGGGTGTGTGATGGACTGCCAGGGTGTGTGTGCCATAGAAGACAGGAGACACTTGGTGATCTGGTCTGGTTAAGGCTTAAGGAATCAACCAGAGCCAGAGAATCAACCTCTTGCTAGAAGCAGACTTCGTTTATTTATTCATACCTACTGGGTCCATAATAGATTTTAAGGGAGCTTCAACAGTAGACTAAAGACTGTTTATTTAAGAAAGAAGGAATCAGTTTGGAGATGTGGCTTAGTGGTAGAGTGCTTGCCTAGCATGCATGAAGACCTGGGTTTCCTCCCCAGTACCATGAGTTAAAAAAGAAAAAAAGAATGAACCAAGGGTCAGTGCTGATTCTGAAATTTGATCTTCAGGCAGGCCCTGATAATCACATGGGAACAGTGAAGGCACGCCAAATGTATTCTGTCACAGGTTCTTTTTCTGATGAAGAAGGATGAGTTCACTTGTTTCAGGTCCCATAACCAGCTGACATGCCTTGCCTTCCATGATAATTGGTACCCCTCATACAGCACAGTCACCAGATGCTCAAAATAAGGGCCAAAGACGCTTCCATGAAGTCTCAGTGATGGAAGGAACCCCTTTCCTTGGCAAGGGCATGTCCTGACTGCTGCTTCTGATTAGCTCTGTGGCCCTGGGCAGGTCACTTGACTTCTCTAGGCTTTGGTTTTCCAAGATCTCAGACCTGGATGGCAGACTAGATTATTTCTTAAGATTTTTGGAGCAGGACTGAGGCTTTCTGGAGAGTTCATTCAGAAGGTCAAATCAGCATAGAGTGGGGGTAGGAGTGGGCCTCTGGGCATGATAACTGGCCAGGAGTACAGTCTCCCACACACACATCAGGGATGGTTTTTAAAAAGAATGAATATACTGAGCACTATGGCACATGCCTATAATCCCAGTGATTCAGGAGGCTGAGGTAGGAAGATCGCCAGTTTGAGGCCAGTGTGGGAATTTAGTGAGACCCTCTCAAAATAGAAAATAAAAAGAGCTGCGGTTCACTGGGAACAGTGGCACACACCTATAATCCCAGCAACTCGAGAGGCTAAGGAAGGAGGATCGCAAGTTCAAGGCCAGCCTCAGCAACTTAGTGAGGCCCTCAACAGCTTAGTGAGACCCTGTCTCATAATTAAAAAACAAGGACTGGGGATATAGCTCGGTAGGTAGAGTGGTGCAAGGCGCTGGGTTCAATCCCTAGTACCAAATATATAAATATTTAAAACAGGACTAGGGATATGGTTCAGTGGTTAAGCGTCCTGGGTTCAATCCCCAGTACCAAAAGAAGCGGGGAGGACTAGGGATGTAGCTCAGTGATGGAGTGCTCCCGGGTTCAATCAACAGTACCAAAAAAAGAACACATAGCATGTGCAAGGCACTAGGTTCAATCCCATCACAAAAAAAATTAAAAATTAAATTAAAAAAGAAAGAGTGAGTATGACTGGCTGTGAGGGACAGGGGAGAGGGAACAGTGTACCCTTGGCTGAAACGAGTCAATGGAGGACAGGAAAGACAGGAAGGAGGGAGGAAAAAGAGAGACCTGCCTTTGGGCCAGACTGCCCATCAACACCTCTTACATCAGGAGTATAATAAGAAACACATGATTGGATCTGCCTCTGAAATGCCACAAAAGTGTCCCTTGGTTTTCCAGTGCATGACTAGACAAAAGCAGGCTACCCACTGCACGCGTGGCAGGGAGGCCAAGCACCTGTCATCTGCTTTCTCTCGAGTCTATGGCAGTGCTGTTGCTAAGCTAACAAGCATTTTGTTTTGTTACTCTGCACCTTTCAGGGCACAGGTGACGAGCTTATGGCCATTGGGTTGCTTTGGTTTTGCCCTCTCCCGCATTTTAAGAAATATCAATTTGCTGTCAACAAATGTGAGTGATTTTACAGTAAAATCCAGATTGGAGACTTTTCCTGAAAAGTCAGAAATTCTACCATGTTTTCATTGATCTTCACAAGAAACACTGGCTGGAATAAAGCAGCAGCTGCTGGTTTTGAAGGGAGCACAGGACTTTCTTCAGCCCTGTCCCTACATCCCACTGCCTTACACGCGGACACCTTCATTTGTTTCTGCTCTGCATGGTTCTGAAGGATTGATATTTGATGCTTTGGGCTGAGGAAGTCTGTAGACGTTCAGGGGCAAAGGGCACTGAGAATGGAGCCCAGCTCCCACCTGACAATGCTGTCACATCCTGCTCCCTGATTCTGCCCAGCTGATCTAGGCCTCACATCCTTTCAATCAATCTGGTTGCTTGCACATCCTCTAGCCTCTCTATATATCCTCTTCCCTCTTTTTCTTTTTTGGGGTACCAAGGATTAAACTCAGAGGCACTTGGCCACTGAGCTATATCCCTAGCCCTATTTTGTATTGTATTTAGAGATAGAGTCTCACTGAGATAGGGCCTCGCCATGTGACTCTAGATCTTGATTCTTTCCTGATCTGGCAGTGGGGGCAGCCTCTCAAATGCTGTGCCAGGAACCTAAAACAAGCTTTCATGTGAGTATATCATACAAGTTCAAAGTTGGAATGTCTTTTTTCCTCCTTTTCTTTCTTTTTTTTTTAGGATTGGAAACTTTATTATGATGATATGCATATGCTGGCGAAGTTATATGCTTCACAGTACACGACCTCTTTTTATCAAATGCATCCGAAAGCCTGCTGTGCACCAGGTTCTATGCCAAATGCTTTATGTGTGTTACTGCTGATCTTCATTATAACCTCACAAGGTAAATATTTTCATCACCAGATGGAGACACCAAGGCTCAGAGAAATCACATCATTAGTAAGTTTTGCAACAGGAATTTGAACCCAGTCCTGTCTTCTCCAAAGTCTGCCAGGTCTCTTCCATTAAGGGGGAGTTCTAAGACATAGAAATGGCAAGCAAGCACATAAAACAGAAACTGAAAGATTGAACTGTTGTAGGCTTTTGTTTTTTCATGTCAAATGTGTTTTCAGTTAACTTCAAACACCACGAGGCAAACTTTACCTTATGGTGATGAGTAAGAGTTCAATTACTTTTTTCATCCTGCTTGGAAATCCAGAATGTGCAGAACACAAAAGATAATCCATAAGTAGACTTGTAAAAAAAATGACTTAGAATTGAGACATCTTTTAACACAAGCACTTCAGTTCCATGGTTTTGTTTTGTTTTTTCCCATAGTGACATTGCTTTCTGAACCATTGATAATGACAAATTGTTAGTAGCTATGGCTGGCTGTGGAGCTAGGGCCACTGTGGGATGACTGTCCAGCAGAAGTGGCCTAGGCCCAACCCCAGGTTGCAAATTCCTGAAGCAGGTCAGTCGGTCAGTCAGTGAGCCTTGTGATTCCAACCTTTACAGCAAGAAAGGCTTTCAGTAACTGGATACCCTGAGTTATGTGATGTCCCCAGAAAGGAGTGTGACACATGGGGCTGAAGTCAGAGTCCAAATTAGGGAGTTAAAGTCCTTCTGGCCTCTGTGGAATGCAATAATGCAATATGCAGCAATAATTGCATATTGTTTTCCCTGGTACATGCCTAGGCTGTGCCCTTTTCTCCAGAATAGCCTGTAGCCTTTCCTAAATTAGAGCAGCTAAAACTGTATTTTTGAGCACAAGGACTAGTACTATGATTTAGAAGATGGATAATCAACGCTGGGAAACTTGAACATTGCAGGTACAAAACTCAAATTCTCAGATACAATTTAGCCAAGGTTGTCAACTTGCTATGGGAGGTCTTGCTACACGGAGTGTTGGAGGGTAGGAGGATGTGCGCTTGGAAATTTAGTGAGACTAGAAGAATTTAAAGTCTCTCCATAGATACCCACCCTGAACCTGGCTAGGATCTTGGCTCCTTTTTGGGGGGTAGGGGTGGGGGGGCTGGGGACTGTACCCAGAGCCTCCAATCGGCAAACATTCTACCACTGAGCTATACGCCCAGACCCCGCCTTTTCCTTTTGAAGGATGGCTGATACTCCTCAGGGAACACTTACTCAGACCTAATGATAGCCCTTCGCTCTAAACTCTCACGATTCCGATTCCTCAGCGGTCATCAAAGTCGGAACCCCACCAGTAGCATGCTCGGTGAGGCTGGTCCTCAAACCATGACAACCTCCCGAGGCTCAGAGGTCTCCTCATCAACCACATGCAACCTTAGAGCCTTGGATAGGAAAATCACGTTTTCAAGGCGCAGATCCCTCAGGGGGCGGGGCCTCTTATGGGGCGGGGCCGGGGCTGGGGGCGGGGCCGGGCCGGGGCGGGCCTCTTACTGCGATCGTCTTGGAGAGCCGAGTCGACGAAGGCAGCCGCGGAGTAGAAGAAGACGCTGAGGTCAAAGGTGGGCACGTCGTCGGCCTCGACGCCGTGGTACTCGATGGGCATGTCGCGGTAGTATTCGGGCCCGGTGTCCACGTTCCAGCGGCCGTGGGCCGCGTTCAGCACGTGCGTGAAGCCCGCCTTCTGCAGCCCGTAGCGGTCCAGCGCCGTCGCCCTGGGCACAAGGGAGAGGGGATGGTCTGCCATGCGGGGCTTGGCGCAGACGGGGCGAGTGGTGTGGACTTTGGGGTGGATGGAGGTGAGGAGGGGACTTTGGAGGACCATCCAAGGCTCTCTTCACTCAATTCCGGTTCCTAAAATAAGGTGATTTCAAATGAAGTCCCAAAGCCCTGCTTAGACTAACCCAGGGGCCATTCACGCCATTTGGTCTTTTCATCCCTCAGGATTGGAGGATGGTGTGACTGAGCTATTCATTCATCCATTTTTTCATCATTTACCAAATCCAGCTAAACCTGGCACTGAACACTCCTGCTGGACTGGGCCAGCCAGATCCCCCAAAAGGTTTCCAGGATAACCCATTCACCTGGGCCGATTTCATAGAGCCCCAGTAGACCCCTTAAAGAGGCCTCTTCTCTGAATCTTCCGGATATTTATAGGGTTTTTCAGGTCAGGACTAGAAAGAATGGCTAAATGCTGGTCTTTGTGAGATTTTGATTGAGATTGGGCAAAATTTTCACAGGGTTGGTGGGCACAATGTGAAACAGTTACTTTGGTGAGTCCTTGGCCTGGTTGAGTAAAGCATTGTTCTGAGGTCAGCTTTTGAGTATCCCATTGTTTGAGTTACTTGGGGAAGTTCCTGAAGCTGGCAGAGAAGTCATTTAGTTTTCTTTCTTTTTTTTTAATATTTATTTTTTAGTTGTAGTTGGACACAACACCTTTATTTCACTTGTTTATTTTTGTATGTGGTGCTGAGGATCGAACCCAGGGTCTCACATGTGCCAGGCAAGTGCTCTACCACTGACCCACAACCCCAGCCCATTTAGTTTTCTAGACAAGAATTTCCAAGAAAGAAGAGCAAGGTCCTGTGGCCTTGGAACATGACTAGACGGAAAGGCAACATGGTAGACTATCAGAGGAAGCAGGAGTTGTTGCTGGGAGGGCAGGTTGGTTGGGGAGCTTTTGGGGAGGGGGGTCCTCCTTGAGACTGCCCCACCACAAGGGTCAGCACTTGGTGATGGAGGGGAAGAGAGAGGCAAGAGCAGACCACACCAAGGAACTCACAACCTGAGATATAGAGGCTGGAGATAATGCAGGCCTTTCAGGAAATGTTTGTTACTTTCTGCAAACTTTTATCCCCAAATAGCGATTTAGAATCCATTGGGTATCATGCACTGTTCTGATGCTGATGTTACAGCAGGGAAGAGGTTAGTCATGGTCCTTTGGGAAACTCAGGTTCTACTAGACATAGCAAATAACAAACAAATAAGATCTCAGTAATAAGAGCTGTGAAGGAACTAGAGCCATGTCACAGGATGCAGAATGACCATGGTCCTGCTTTTGGTAGGATGGTCGGTGTAGGCCTCTGCCAGGAGGTGGCATTGAAGTAAGGGAGGGGGAGAGTGTTTCATTCAGGTTGAAGGAACAAGTGCTGAGAAAGGAGACCGGTGTGGCTGTAGCAGAGGGCAGAGGTGGGATCCTGGTGTGCTCTAGCAGGCCACAGGAAAGAGTTTGGATCTTATTCTAAGCCTTAGAGGGCTTTAAGGGAAGGGTGAGCACTGTTGGCCTTTTATAAAGATCAATCTGGCTGATGTGTGGAGTGGGATTAAAAAGGGACCAAAAGCAGAAGCAGGGAGGTCTGCTGGAGGCTTCTGCAGTTGTATGGGCAAAAGAGGAAGGAGGCTTGTACTAGGGTGATGTCACAGAGGGACAACCAGATCTGGCTTTAAGAAGACATCTCCCTCAATAGCACAGAGACCAGCCTGCAGCTCAGGGAAGAGGTGACATGGGTCTGGAACCCTAATAATAAGAGGACAGGAGTAGCATTGTGCTTCAGCTGAAACCTCATCTCAAGGCCACTGGGAAAAGGATGTGAACTGAAGTGCCATATTGGATGGCAATAGGGACCAACACCCTGGGCTGAGAGGAGTCCTGCATCAGAAGCACATGCCATGGCCCCTCTCCAGTGGTGTTACTGTCTCTACTAGTTTCTTGGAGCTTTTTGTTTGCCGTGAGAGAAACCATGATGGTCTCTAGAGTTTGGGAAGGAGAGACCTGAGCACAGGCGTTGAGCCTTTAGAAACGTTTGTAAACAGCCTGTCGAGCTGTGGTGTGGGGCAGTGGGGAGTTCCACCAAGGCCTCCAGCTGCCTTTGTGCTGGCATCCTGACAGTGGAACACATTCTGCTTTCAATTTTTCCTCAGAAAGGTCTGCTTTTCATTTTTCTTTTTGTCCCAAAGTATGTATACAACAAACATTATGCTTTTGGAACCCAGATCTGCACTCAATTAAAGCTTCCCCTAATGCAGTCCATCATTGCTGAGTAGCAATCAACCCCACTTTGAGGTTGAGCTCAGTGGAAAAATTAAAATTAACTGTTTTTGACAGGAAGCTTGTACCCATCAGAAAGACGGTTCTCTCTGAGTTCAGGAACTGGGTTTTAACATAATCAAATGGCAGTTTGAATAAACAATAGTTTGCACTTTGCTGCTTTTAAGGTCAAGGATCAGGATAGATATGCAACAAGATTCATTGCATGACACCTCCTTATTCACTCTATTGAGCTGGCTTTGGCTGTGTCTGAGAGGCATGAGGAGCGTCAGTCCTGGTCAGTGTCTGAGACCCACTGCAGATTTTCAGGGCTCTTTGGCTACCTGGGCCAGGAAGGGGAGATGATGTCCTCACACTCCACTCTGGGGACTACCCCCAGCTTAGTTACACAGAGTCCAGTTGAGGACTTGGAAGAGCATCCACAGCAGAATGGGGAATTTGCAAATAAAACAGTGCCTCATAGATCTCAGACACACAGCAGCTGGTCCCCAGTTGGGCCAGACGCCCAGCTCAATAATTATTGGACGTGGGGTGGGGATTGGGGTGGTTGTCTGGTACGTAGTGTTTTGCTTTTAAAATCTCAGGGCCAGATACATTCTCTGCCTTGATATGTTATGTGGGAAAGAAACTAAGAAATGCAGAGGCATTTTGAGGTGGAGGCAAAGAGAAAAGGGCCACATGGCCCTGTCCTGGGCCCATTTATGTGTATATGCTGAAGGAGAAGAGACTTCAGAGGGAAAAATAGATTTAGGAATTTATTTTTAGAATCTGGATGATGCAGGGGCGGTAGTGTCTGATTGTTTCAGAAAAATCCTACATTCGATCAATTTGTTCATTTTTTAAAAATAATGTCATTTAATTACAGAAATAACATATGCTGATTGTAGAATGTGGGAAACATAACCCCCCCAAAAGGAAAAAACAAAAAACTATTTCTAATCTGTTAGAGATATAAGATTTTATAATTAGCCTTTTGTTTGTTTGTTTGTTTTGGTACTGGGGATTGAACCCAGGATGCTTAACCACTGAGCCACTCCCCAGCCTGTTTTGTATTTTATTAGAGACAGGGTCTCACTAAGTTGCTGAGGCTGGCTTTGAACTCACCACCCTCATGCCTCAGCTTCCCAAGCTGCTGCCATAGTGACCGATGTTTATCATTAGCCTTTTGATATAAGATCCTCCAGTTGTCTTTCCATGGATAGATTTGTGTATTTTATAGAAAGGTGTTTTTAATACAATACTATACAGTCATATTTCATTTCATTGTGCTGCACAGATACTTTTTTTTGTGTGTGTGATGCTAGAGATGGAATCCAGGGTCACTTGCATGCTAAGCTATATGCCCAGCCTCAATATGGCATTCTTTACCAATCAAAGGTTTGTGGCAAGCCAAATCTATTGGCATCATTTTTCCAATAGCTCTGATGATTATTAGCATTTTTTAGCAATGAACATTTTGAACTGAAGTATTTACATTGTTTTATAGACATGATGGTATTGCACACTTTAGCTATACTATTATGTAAACACAACTTTTATATGCCCTGGGAAATCAAAGAATTTGAGTGACTTGCTTTGTTTTGATTTTTTTCTTTATTGTGGTGGCCTGGAACTGAACCCATGATGTCTCCAAAGTATACTTATGTGTACAGTTTCAAAAACTTTGGCATGGTGCTATATCATAAACGTCTTCCTTTGTCAACATATGTCCTTTTTTTAATATTTATTTTTTAGATGTAGATGGACACAACACAATGCCTTTATTTTTTTGTGGTGCTGAGGATCGAACCCAGGTCCCGCCCATGCTAGGGGGGCAATCTACCACTGAGCCACAATCCTGCCCCTAACATATGTCCTTTGATAGCGCTATGGTAGTCTCACATATATCTCCCAAACTTTATCTCACCCATCACTTTGCTGTATTTCTTTGGGAGCATCTGATTATGTTCTTACGGGTGATTTCTTGAAGTGGAATTGCTGGGTCCATGGTATGGACATTTTTTAATATATTTTATACTTGTTACTAAGTGGCCCTCTAGAAAACTGGTTCAGATTTATATTCTGATTTTTTTTTTTTTTGCAAACTTAATAGGCAAAAAATAAAAATGTGTTAATGTTTCCTTTTTTGGTACTGGAAATTGAGCTCAGGAGCACTCTACCACTAAGCTACATCCCCAACTCCTTTTATTTTATTTTTTATTTTGAGACAGGATCTCTTAAAGTTGCCCAGGCTGGCCTAGAAATCACGATCCTCCTATCCCAGCTTCCCAAATTGCTGGGATTATAGGTGTGCACCATGTGCCAGCTAATGGTTCATTTTTATCCACCTGTCTGAACTATAAGGTTGGACATTTGACACTCATGTAGTGGACTCATGCAGTTCACTTTTGAAGAACATACCCCTGTTTTGACTCAGTTCTCTTTAGCTGTTCCTTCCTCCTACAAACCTCTGGCCTTTCTGTGGATTCTGACTTGAGATTGGAGGACTGAGGGAGTGGGCATCTTTCTTCCATGGCCCAGTTTCTTCAGTCAGACACTTCCCTCCCTTCCTCCTTCTCTGGCCTGGCCCAGCCTCCTGCCAGCCCTCTGGAGTTGCCCTTGAAAACTTGCTTGACACCCAACCTTAGAGGAATGATGGAGAAGTGCACTCCCTATGTGGAAATTGCT